ATATGGTTTAAACGAGACTCGAATAATAAAAACGATCAAGTAGATAAGGTACATTTTTATCACGATTTTAAAATGACTTTCTCGCATGATCAATCATCTCGACGCATTATCTGAAATTAGATCGTAACATTAAAATTCTTTATTGTTTTAACTATATACCATGGATTTATTAATGGACTATTAAAAAATTGTCCTTTATTGATTTATTTGAAATCTTTTTTTATCATTGTATACGCGTGACATTTAATGAATATCATTAGTTATCCACTTTTGAAATTAGTATTGGGATATATAATTACGAATGTTATTGTTCATTCACCTAAAAATAATAACACATAAATATATATAATAGTCTGTATACTTATATGCATATATGTATATATATACATATAATAGATATGTACGTATCTACATACGCGTTTGTGTGTGTATATATGTACGAATATTTTCTACACTCATTGTATATATTAATTTCACCTGACACATTTTGTTATAATTAAATGTCATTATTTGTATTTATAATGATTGAAATGTCATATCACATAGAGCTTGAGTCATATTATAAACTATATGCATTATCAAGGAATACCTTGGTTCTACATGAAATATACATTGAAATGAAGACGGATATGCCATTAAATAAGTGGCATTTTCATTTCCGTTGATTGAAATTTTGTCCATTATAATGCTTAAAGCTCAAAGTTGAAAATGATGAGAGCGAGTGTGATAGAGGAAACGGGATAAAGCTTTTAATACTGTGAAACATGCAATGGATAATAACATTAATTTAATGCCACGTGCTACCGATCCCATAATGTTAATCCGCCGGAGATAATTTATCATGTACATTTATATAACGAAGCCGGTCATTATGCGTGCATAATTAAGAATCATGAACTATCTCTTAATGCATTAAACTTCTTTTTTTTTTTTTTTTTTATATATTTTTCCTTATTCTTATTATCCATTATTATCCATTTGCTTTCATTTCTGTCATTTCTATTCATACTATTAAAGTATTTTAAATTAATCAAATGGATAAATAGTCAGTAGATATGAATATTATTTTGATCAATATTTATAATAATATAACATTATCTAATATATAAATTCATTTATATAAATAATTAAACGGTGGTATTATAAATAATTCAGTGTCTCGATTATGTCTGGTTTGCATCTTGATTTAATATAAATCTCGATCCATTCATTTAAAATATTCTAAGATTATTATATTTGGAAATATTTTCATTAAAATACTAACAGTTTTTGTACTAATCTTCCGTATTATACATATTTTGTATAATACCCCGACCATTAATGTGAAGTATATTCAAAAAAAAAAAAAATCAATCATTTTAATTACATTTCCATTTAATCGGTTGATATTTTTATTAATTAATATTAATCGTTTTGCAAAGCAAATGATTAAAAAAAAAATGCAAAAATGTAATAAATAAGTGTCAATGTTGCATCAGATTTTTGCATAACATATATTATCGATAATTATTATACTGATATTATTATACTGATATTTTATTATAGAATAACGAGCCCATTTGTTTGAAATAATGATCGAACGTTTAAAAATATTGATCCAGTAAATAGCCTTAAATGGTTAAAATAAAAAATTAAATAGCCTAAATAAAAGCAATTTTAATCGGTAAGATAAATCTATCGTTAAACTTTTTATCGGATCAGATAATTCCGACGATTTTTTTTCCAAACTTTTCCTACAAATTTATGAAATTTACGTACGGTTATAATATCTATAGGTTTAAATCGCATAAATTTTGTCTTTTTTTTATTTTTTTTTTTTTTTTATTTTTTATTTTTTTTTTTTTTTTATTTTTAAATTACATTAGTATCAGCAGATACTACAATTCGAAAGTTTCATTTCTACGTTACCAGAATGGCGTCGTCTTTCCGGCTTGGTGACAAAGTTATACGAATATCAATAGCTATAATAACCACGACAATGCGCCAGCCGGCGCATTCGTTTCACAGCTGATGGTCGTGAGTAATGAAACGTAATAGCGTTTGACGATGAATAACCAAAATTATGAGCTTGTTACGATCGGTTGTTCGCTATTCGTTACATTAACAATTAAATTCGTTGGACCGTATAACATGGGGTACGATTGTTTGAATGCGTAGTTATTAAAAAATTATGAATTATTATTGGCTCTAAATGATAAGCATACGTAAAAAGTATATTAAACTATTAAGAAAAACATTCGCGATTCGATTTACCGAAACGTAATATAAAATATATATATATATATGTGTGTGTGTGTGTATATATATATGTATATATAAAAGAAACGTACATATAGATGCACGCGAATAATAATAATAAAAAAAAAAAGTAAAAAAAGAATAAAAAACCGAATAAAAATTAAAATTTTATTTTTCACTCACCATTACCGACGTACTCGTAAACTACATTACCATCCGAGAAAAAGTATGGCCGATTTCTTGTCTCTCTCTCTCTTTCTCTTTCTCTTTTTCTTTTTCATTCGTTATGTCTATCCTTCGTCCACTCGTCATCTCTCTCTCTTTCTCTTTCACTCCACCATGTTTCCATATCACGTAACATAAAAAGAGACTGATTATCGTAATAATTACGAAACGTCTCGTCACGAAACTAACTCGTTTGCACTACACAAAATAGTGAACAACTTTGAGACGTCAAATTAATCACGATTTCGCGTAAATAATATTCGTAAAATTCGTTGAAAAAGAAATGACCTGACAGATCGCGTGTTCGTTCGAGACATTAATTTTATTTTCCGACTTATATCTCACGCACAAAACGATGCCACGTATCAACCGCATATCATCAATCGTAGATCATGATCTTAAAGATCGATTGATATGTAAGATTATTAATGCACGACGAAAGTTAAGATGAAATTATTCGTAATTACGAGTACGACGTGTTATAAATCGTGGTTCGCCCGAAACTAAGATGGCGCCCTTATAATAGTGGCGCGAAAACTATCTATGGAAATTACACTTATACGTTCGACTCTTCCTATTGGCTGTTGAAAAAATAATCATTTAGAAACTAAATTCGAGCATATCGATCGGAATAATAATAATAAAAGGAAAAATATTATCAGCGATTAAGAACTTTGGCATTTCGAATAATGATAGAAAATAAAATTTATATGGTCGCTCGAAAAATTATTATACGTAATATACGCGATAATTATACGTAATAATTGCACGTGAACATTATTTGACTACATTAAACAAAAGCTATTTCTACATACGAAGTCAAATGGGCGTTTTATTTTTTGTAAAATAAAATCCGAGAATATTTCCACAAGTTAATATTTTATGAATAACTAATTAATATATCGAATAAAATAGAAATTTCTTTGTAATAAAGTATATACGAATTACTATATGTAAATAAATAAAAAAAAAAAAAAAAAATAAATAAAGAAAAAAGAGAAAAAAATTATAGTATACACTATATTATTTACTTCTTTTGTTTTCTTATTTTAATGTATAGAATCCATTCCTGCTGCACTTCCAACATGCAGCATTGCATTGGACACTCTGTATATATATATATATACATGTATATGCACATACATATTTATATACATCATATATATTTTAATAAATACATGTATGTATCTGTGTATCTTTCTTTTTTACGTCTATCCTTTTTTTTTCGTTTCCTTTTCCTTTATTATTATTATTATTTTTTTCTTTTTGTTTTCTTTTTTTTTTTATAATTACCATGTCGTTGAAGAAAATAAGATTAAAAAAAAAAAAAAAGGAAATAGCTGCCAGCGACAGGGTTGGTACACTTCACAGGACCGTATATAATACGGAAGTATCATGCAGCAGTGCTAGTGAAGTAACAGTAGAAGTAAAAAATAAAACGTTTGTCGACATCTACAAATGCCACTCTTTACTTGGAACAGATATTGATACCTTTTCGTAGCACTGCTTCTGCAAGAAAGCTTTTAATAAAATGGTAAAGAAGTGTTATACGTCATCGTAAAAAATGGCACGTCGTGTATTAAATAGAAAAAGAAATATGTATTGATCTTTTTATCCTCTTCGCCGAATAATTTACGGTCCTCTCTCTCTCTCTCTCTCTTTCTTTCCCTCACATCCTCTCTCTCTCTCTCTCTCTCTGTCTTTCTCTTTGTATGCTTTTTCTGAAAATAATAAATAAATGAATATGACGTCAATGGAAGTCCTTCTTGAGAAGACATATCTCGTTCAATATATTTAGAGAGCTTTGATGCTAAATTTTAGTCGATTCGTAATAATATTTCCAATTAGTAACTATACAAAGAGAATGAATGAATGGGTAGAAAAGAAAGAGAGAGAGGGTGAGGGAGAGAGAGAGAAAGAGAGTGAAAGAGAAAGGTTAACGAGTTTCCACAATTCTAATTAGTTATGGTGGTAGATACGACGTTGAGTACAAAAGCACAGTCGTTGTCATTGTTACTAACAATACAATTGTCCATTCTTTGACGAGTGCATATCTTCGTTCAAACAATACCATTACGTAGTTTACCTTTGAGTAAGTTTTATCGATAATCAAGCAAATACCATCGTCTCGCGTCTATTCTTCAATTTAATCGCTCATTTATTATTTACTTCTCAAAATTATTTACATTTCTACGAATAATTATGAATATTAATAGGCATATTTCTTTTCCCCACTCCACCCCTTTTTTTTCTTTTTTTTTTTTTTTTTTTTTAAATACACAATTATAAATATACGTATGTTATAAATACGTTCTAAAGATATAATTATAAAATGTTATGATATTTCATTAAAATAAATATAAAATCATTACTCGACGTGAAACAATTTGATATCAATGAATTATTTACGAAATATTTATAACGCTAGAAATATTTCTTTTTTTTTTTTTTCACGATAAAATATCGACGAATTATATATATTCTCTTTTTATCATTAACATGTTCGCGTTCTAATCCGCGTTCAAACGTCACTCCTTTTGAAATACCAATCGGGGATTTTCTTCTCTCTTAAGCACTCAAACAAAGACACGAGGGACGTTAGGTTGCTTGCCACTATTCCGACGTTCGTGGATCCTAGATGGTTGGTACAGTCTACGCCATTTTGGTCTCGGTGGGATACTGTAATACGAAATACACTATCGTTGATGAAAAGTGAAAAGTGCCAATGTGAAGACTTTATTTTTAAGATATAGAATCGATAGAGAAAAATAGAATAAAAAGAAAAAGAGAAAAGAGAAAGAAAGAGAGAAAGGAAATACATTAATCTTTTTCTTCTTCTTCTTCTTTTTTTTTCTTTTTCTTTTTTTTGCGATCGCCCCACCTCCTCCCTCATCGTCGTATAAGAAAAAAAAGAAAAAAAAGAAAAAAAGAATTGCAAGTGAATCATTCAAAGATGAAAAGAAAAACATGAATAAAATATTATAACAAACAGAAAATGAATTACAAAAGGAATCAATAATTGTAATTAATGAAATGATAATGATTAGACAATTAGAGAGAGAGAGAGAGACAGAGAGAGAGAGAGAGAGAGAGAGAGAGAGAGAGAGAGAGAGAGAGAGAGAGAGAGAGAGAGAGAGAGAGAGAGAGATTAGTGTTAGGAAAGCAACCTTACGGAAGCATGCACGTAGACAGAGGAAAATCGATCAATCGCATAATAGCGAGTATACTACGTTAACAGCTTCTAAAGCGAAAGCACCCTTGACCTAGGTCCAGGTGGCTTAGATAGTGTGCTCCATTGAGACAGGTTGTATTAGTACACCTGTCAACACCTGCTGCTCCCCGTTTGAATCGCATTGATAGTCGATTAGCATAAGCACCCGTATTCTCTCTTATCTACTATAATAGTAAACTCTATGTATACTTATTCTCAAAAATCATCATGAAGCTTTTTAATTCACAAATTTTATAATTATTTCAATTGATCATTTAATTAAAATTGACGTTATAATTGACTTTCGTCAAATTCTTTTATGACTTTGTTTAGTTTAAAAAAGAAAAAGAAAAAAAAATAGAAAAATGAAAAAAAAGAAAGAAAGAAAGAAAAAAAGAAAGAAAAAGAAAGAAAAGAACGAAAAGCAAAAAAAAATAAAATCCCCCCCACCACACCCCACAATTTTATACTATAAACAAAATCATTCACTCAACTTTACACTTTTAACAGTTTAACCATAACGAGAATTTGACTCTTGTTTCCTATAGATTGTAACTATTGCCCAAATTGTCCCATACGAATTCACATATTTATATGCGTACACACACACACACATACACACACATATACACATACACATACACACAGGAACACTCATATAGATACACCGATCGATATATCAGTGACCTTTGTTAGGGTAACTAACCTATGGACCGGACGATGTTGCTCGTTAATTAACAATTGCTTAATAACGCGATAAAAGCGATTATATTACAATCGAACGAGTGAAACGAAGGAACAGGAAGAAAGGGGGGAAGAGGGAGAGATGTAAGTTATCTCAGTTGTACGATTTAATGTTGCTTCAATGAGATTTCAATCTTCCTCTAAAGTTAAGATACATAAAGGATATAATTAAAAAAAAAATAAAATAAAATAAAATAGTGAATTATATACATATACGTATATTGGTATATACGTATATATATATATATATATATATATATATATATATATATATATATGTGTATGTATATACAGTGAAAGAAAGAAAGAGCAAATCTATGGCCCATTTATAATAGACAGAGAGGATGGTGAGAAATCATGTTTGAAGAGGATTCCAGAGGCGCACTTTATCTCCGGACACGTTCTTATCGGTGACAGGAGCAAACTGACGCTGTGTGCTTCCGAGCTTATGAATGAAACATGGACGGCTGCCTTAGTAGGAACGGTGAAAAAAACATGAGGAATCGCTCGATCTCGCTGGATCATTAGTTCGTGAAAAAAAAAAAAGAGAAAAAAAAAAGAAAAAGAAAGAAAAAGAAAATAGAAGAGAAAAGAAAAGAAAAAGAAGAAAGAGTAGAGAACGTTAAAAAGTACAAATGTAGTCGTTTATCGTTGTTATTTCGTTTATTATAATAATAATAATAATCATAATAATCATAATTGCTATTATTATTGACATTGTTGTTATTATTACTATTATTATTATTATTATTACTTTTATTCTTATTATTATTATTATTATTATTATTATTATTATTATTATTATTATTATTATTATTATTATTATTATTATTATTAGAATCGGTAAATCCAGGCAAATTTCGCTTCGACGCCCAATTTCATTCGAGCTAGCGTCCGTAACAAATGATGAATATCGCTTCGGTCTCCATACCTAGCAGCTACCTACTGCGCACACGATGTAGCAAATGTATCAAAATCAGATTTGCCCTGGCCTCGTTCGACCCACGCAGTTCCGATTATACTGCGCTCATTACCGAGCTATACCATTCAATTCTACAACCATGCGAATCTAATGGTTTCGT